ATGTACTACGATATGACGCCCCATTTTTTTTAGTACACAAAAGTTTAGGTCGGGTGTGGCTTCCCCAATTCAAGGTCAAGACTTACTTAAGATTCAATTGGGATTTACAGATTTTATGGATTGTCCACCAAGAGTGACGGTGGTGAGATTCGAACTTGACCTTACAAGCTCAAATTCTTGAATCCCAACCACTTGTGCCAACACTCGTTGGCACGATATGATGCCCCATTGATTAGGTCGTTTAATATATAGAATTTTTTTAAGATTTAATGGATAAATTAACTTATGGATTATACATAAAATTCTATTTTATTATTATTTTTTATTCATTTGTCCGTCACTGTTAAAAATGATATAATCTTTTAAAATCAATTAATGAGTACTACGTAGAGAGTTAAATTGAAAATAATATATAATTTAAGGGTTAACTAGGAAAAAACTTTAAAATATTTTATTTTATTTTTCTCTTTTCATTATTTTCTTCGTATTCTAATAAATAAAAAGTTTTTAGATTTTTTTATATATAATCTGAGCGGTTAAGAGACATTTTTAGTAGGTTGCTCACTGGATCCACATTCTGTATCTGTTTCTGTTTTTGTACCTTGTTACTGTAGCTATTTGTTATTTGGGTAATAAAACTTAAAAATTTATCCAAAAAAATAAAAACATAGGTAGGTCACAATGAAATTTTGATCTAATATGATGATTAAATTTAAAGATCAAAATCTAATATCTTAAAAATAAATCTTAATTATGATTTTTTTTAAAGTTTTATAAAAAAATAATGGAAAATTATGGTTAAAGGGATGATGACAATAATTTTGGTGTAAAAATTGAGTCAACAAAAAGTTTATGCATTAATTGATTGAAAGGGTTACATTATTTTTCAAACAAAAATAGTAGAAGGATAGTCATAAAATAAAATTTAAAAATCTAGTTTTTTAAAAAAAAAATTAAAAAGAAAAATAAAAATCTAAATATAATTCAAGAGTCAATTTATTAATGGGTAAAGTACACAAATAGTCCCTAAACTATAGGAAAATGCTTTGTTGAGTTCCCGACTATTAAAAGTTACAAAATGGTCCCTCGACTATAGGGAATTGTTTTGTTGAGTTCATCGACTATTAAAAGTTACAAAATGACCACTTGATTATTCATTATGTTTCAAACCCATCATTTTCGTTAAAAAATTAACAGTCGTCTGAGTTGGACGTTAACATGCTGACTGAGATATGATAGTCGTTTGAGATTATGAGATCAAATTTTATCATATCTCAGTCAGTAGGTTAACGTCTAGCTCAGACGACTACTAATTTTTTAACGAAAAAGGATGAGTTTAGAACATAATGAATAATCGAGTGACCACTTTATAACTTTTAATGATCAATGGACTCAACGAAACAACTCCTATAGTTGGGAGACTATTTTATATCTTTTAATAGTCGAGAGACTTAATAAAACAATATCATACAGTCAGAGAACCATTTGCATACTTTACCCTTTATTAATTAATCCTTTTTATAAATATATAGTTAGACTATGAACCACACACACTTGATGTGTGACCTTTTCACAAGAAATGAAACCATTGACAAAGAAAAACTTTGGTTTTAAACTTTGATTTAAATTGCTTAAGAAAGTTTCTACACAGTTTAATTTTTCAAAGTTTTCACCGCCTTGTTATCCTCTCTAAACTCAAGTAAGAACTTTCCATAAAATCCTCTTTCTCTTTCGTTTTACTTTGATATTTTCTCCATATAAATAGGTATGTAGTAGCTTCAAGTTTATAAATTCATCGTTTTTCCTTTTTTGGTAAGAGCAAAAGGAAAAAATATTGGGTTTACAGGTTGAACTTTAACCTTGCATCCAAAGTTTTTATCTTTCTTTGTCGTTTCTTGATCTTAAAAACTTTTAAAGTTGAAATTTTTAGCAAATTCCCAGGTTGATTTTGATCAGAAATTTTGAAAAACAAAATGAGTTTCGGCATCAAGCAATCAGCTTTAACTGTGAATGTTTCCAGCTCAATTGTTCACAAAAGATCGTCTTCCATTATATCTTCGTTTTCACCATCTGTGAGTCTGAACCTTCAAAACAACACTAACCAAAGGGCCCTTATTTCAGTGTCAAAGCCTTTGCATATCTCATCCATTGAGAGTTGTTGTTTTCACAATGAGAAAAAACCAGTGATCCATTGTAAGGCGTATGAAGCTGACAAGTCACAGTCGGCGGCGGCGGCCGAAGGTAAATCAGAAACCGCGCAAAGAGTGAAAATTGGGATTTATTTTGCAACTTGGTGGGCTCTGAATGTGGTCTTCAATATCTACAACAAGAAGGTTTTAAATGTTTACCCTTTCCCTTGGTTAACTTCGACTCTGTCACTTGCCTGTGGTTCTCTGATGATGTCGGTTTCATGGGCCACAAGGATTGCTGAGCCCCCGAAAATCGATATCGAGTTCTGGAAGGCTCTGTTTCCGGTGAGGTTTCCCTCCCTTTTTTGTTTGGTTAGTGAGAAAGTGAAAGTAAATAGTCTGTTATCCAGTTTTATGAAAATTACAGTTTGTTGATTGCATTGAAAATGAAACCACAATTTGGTATTATCTGTCTTATCTTAAACAAGAAAAACAAAAGGAAAATTCTGATGTATGTTCTTGTTTCTGAGAAATTAAGATTAAGATGTCAAATTCTGATATATGTTCTTTTGGTTTCCTTTTCCGTAGGTGGCTGTGGCACATACAATTGGACATGTTGCAGCTACTGTGAGCATGTCTAAGGTTGCAGTTTCATTCACTCACATCATTAAAAGCGGTGAACCAGCTTTCAGTGTCATCATTTCGAGGTTCTTACTCGGAGAGACCTTCCCGCCGGCGGTTTACCTGTCACTTCTTCCAATCATCGGTGGTTGCGGCCTTGCCGCCTTAACCGAACTCAACTTCAATATGACTGGTAAAGACATAAGTTACCATGGTGTCTTGTTTTTTCAGCTGTAATGTGGGATTAATATTTTGGATGTTTATGATGCTTGAGGATCCTAACTGGGGTTGATCTTCTACTTTTAATCAAACTGTTTTTCGGGTTACGGCCGAGTGGTGAACTTGGTTCTTCGTCGCGTATTCTCAGGTTTTATGGGAGCTATGATTCGAACTGGCATTTGTCTTCCGTAACATATTCTCGAAGAAGGGCATGAAGGGGAATGCTGTTAGCGGGAATGAATTACTACGCTTGTTTGTGTATGCTGTCCCTTGTAATTCTCACACCTTTCGCAATCGCCGTGGAGGGACCGCACATGTGGGCGGCAGGATGGAAAGAGGCTGTATCTCTAATTGGACCACAGTTCATCTGGTAATAACATAACCCTACTAAGTCGTAATTATCGTGTAGATTTATTCGTTGGATTTGGTAGATACTTTGAAGGTATTCTATGAACTTTTCCGAATTTCTCGTGCTGGTTAGGTTTAGAAATAAAGGATTTAGAGGCCCCATTGCCTATATGATGTCAATTTGTATCACTTATTGATTCTGTTCGATCGATGTTTACTGAACTGTTCATAGTTACGTTTTGAGTTCTATTAAAGATTCAGACAGGACCTGTAACATGAGCATTAGACGATATCGGTGTCGTCTTTATCTGTGCCGGTTTCGGTACTCTTTTGGATCCAATCGTAGCTGTATGTGCTAACAAACGTTGTCGATTATATTCATATTTGGTAGGTGGATGGCTGCCCAGAGTATTTTCTATCATCTATACAACCAGGTCTCGTACATGTCCCTCGATCAGATCTCTCCCTTGACATTTAGCATCGGCAATACCATGAAACGTATATCCGTTATAGTCTCATCCATCATCATCTTCCACACACCGGTCCAGCCAATCAATGCTCTTGGAGCCCATTGCTATCTTAGGAACCTTCTTGTATTCCCAGGTGAGTGACCGGTCTAAATTATTAACGACAATGCATTCTCGTCACATAGAACACATGTTCATGCTTCGACGAGATACTTTCGACATGTTCCGTATTTCGTTCTTAATCATTCAAAAATATGCTCGGTTGTCGATCATTTCACCCTCCCAAATCTCATAAACTCTCTCTTTGCAGGCAAAGGCATGAGAGAACACATGGGGTTAAAGAATTTCAATTCATCGAATAACATAGACGAAAGAGATAGCTCTGAGGAGGTCGTAGTTCACTGTCTTCGGCGAACCATGATGGCCGGATTTTGGTCGAAAAGGACCCCGGCAGGCGGCTTGTCATTATGTAGATATTTATAATAAGGAATTAGGCAGGTTTTTTGGTTTTTTCCCAATTCAGGCTTGAAGGGAACACGTTTTTGAATAAAACAGGGTCAATTCTCCAAGCCATTGTCTGTGTAAGCAGACATGAATAAACAGAGCCAATACAATATATACTCTTAAGATTGAGCTGCCATTGATGCTTAGCTTATGCTCCACATTGAGAATCCGTTGTCAATTTAAATTTAGTTTTATTTATTTTAATTTGTTTATTTCAATCATGAATTAAACGACATAAGGTAAATTATATTGATGCTGGTGTCACAAAGAAAAACCTTGGTTCTACTGCAATGTCTATTCTGGGATCGGATACCTACAAGAGAACGTTGTAAAGAAGTAATGCACCGATATATGATGCTGCAAGAACCAGTGTTTGATAATGTAATGACTCTATAGCATATGTGCACATAAAACCAGTTTTGTTGCCAAAGTCTTCAACTCTTCAGCTTAGCGAACCGTTTTTCAAGCCTGCAAATCCGAGATTCGAGCTCAAGACTAAGGGTGAAAAGATCAGTAGTGTCAATGCCTTCTCCATCTTTGGACCTGGTTTGCTCTTGACATCATCTGTGACCAATCCTTTTGATTCTCCGATTGGATTTGCATTCTTTGTGACCTCGGCATCCAGTTTCGGTACATATTCGGTCTTCTCAACATCTTTATCTGTGACTGCCATGATCATTGGCATGTTTTGACATTCACCACTGATAAACGCTTACAGATATTGTCCAAGGTTTTGTATCTTTAGCTTCATCAGAACTTTCTGTGCTAACTGCACATCGTTTCGTATTTGCTTTCGTCTCTGCAAGTGCTTCAACTTCTTTAGTTGAGCATGTTGCCTTTGAGCACAACTCATTACCATGTTTTCATTGCTATGCTTAGCACAAGTCAATATTTTTCTTATTGTTAATCGATCTTCCGTGTCGACCTTCTGAATGAAATCCCCTGCTTCCACCTCTTCATCTTCCTTTTCCTTGCTAGAATTTCCTTTGAAAACCTTTTCCTTCACTGAAACATCATGTTTTCTTCGATTCCTAGGCCTCTTAAGAAATGGCTTGATAGCATCACGATAAGCCACCACTGATTGCTTCCACCAATGCCAGTACTGTGAAGTAACATCCGATTCGAAAAGCCTTGGCGGTACATACAACACTGCATCTCGAATAGGTCTGCTGTAATTCCTCCAAGCAATATCAGGGTTTCCATTGCATCTAGCAAAGCATCCTGGAAGATCTTGATCCATTCCGAACTGCATCGAAACCCGATGTGGGACATACTGCTCTATGCTGTCTAGTCCAACAAGCTCACTACCCCTCAAACATCTAGCAAACGAATGAATCTGTTCGTCTAAATGAACACGAGAATCAATCAATACATGCTGTTCCTCATCACCATAAAACTTTGGCAAAGACAACCATCAATTGATATAACATACGGCCGCCATAGAAAACTTCCTCCTGCAGACTCCATAGCTAGCTCACATTAGGAACATTCACCTTAAGCCTGTTCCATCTCGATACCCTCGGCTCACCATGCGAGATCGAACTAGGCGTCGGACGCAATGCCGGAAACCTTTCCCAAACCCAAACCTGCACTAACTGAAAGGGTGCATAAATATAAACCAACTCATTACTTTGCGCCACAACGGAACCAGAGAATCGATCCTTCAACAGATTCAAGTCCCTGTATATGCTACATAAAACAGCCGGCGCAAGAGCAACCCGGTTCCCTCTAGCCAAATGAATTGCAATACGAAAAACATGCTTCCTCACACTTGTAGCTGAAGCAGAACTCACAAAAACAAAGTTGGATAACCATAAAGAAAGGAATGCTTCATGCTCAAGCTCATTCCCAGTTCCCATGAAATAGTCCATCCATGCTTTAGACGTGGCAAGCACGCAACCCCCTCTTGCAGCCTCTTTTCGCCCTTTGATTAACCTTTCTTCAACCTCAACAAGTTTACTGTTTAAAGGTCTTAAAACAGATTCACCAAGAACAGAAAACCCCCCACAGATCATAACATCTTCCAATGTTATCGTTGCTTCTCCCCAAGGAAACACGAGAGAATTTGTCCCAAGGCACCATTTTTCAGCAAAACAAAGAACGAGTTCCTTGTGTTGTTTGACATCGTACCTGGAACTCATCACTGCGTCATAAATACCAACATGCTTCCATAAAGCTCGATGCTTGGCGTGCATGTTATGAACCCATGTTTTCCATTTCTGCGTGGAACGTCTCCAGCCTTTGAACGACACTTTCTCGGACAAGTCCTTTAGGCCATGAATGAAGGGCTTGGGGGAGACATGATCATGAGGAAGCTCAGAGATTTTCCCATTGCTTGAAATGGCTGTTGTGGGTTTGAGAAAATGGGCTTTTCTTCTTGTACTGAGTCCACCATTAGCCGAAACCATCAACGCTTCCCTCTCTTCAACAATGGTGTCTAGTGGTGAATCAATCTCCATTGTTGATGTAGAAAATTTCAGGAAAAATCACATCTTTATGTTGCTTTTGATCTACTGGAAAACTCTAGCCGGGAAAAAAAGAGACAATGGCAACTGCAACCTGTCATATTTCTATTTTTCGTAAAGGTGCGCCTTCACCCTGCGGAGAAGGGTTTTTCTTCATGGGGCACAAGATGACAAAAAGGAAGATTGTGCAAAGTATTCGTCCAAACGATTTTTTCCTTAAAATCGAGATTTTAAAAATCACACCATTTTTTAATTATATCTATTTCTTGTGATAAATTTTTAATTAAAAAATAAACGTGATTTAAAAAAATTTCTCGTTTCGAAAAATTTGGGATTTTCATTACTATAGAAAAATACGGTTCGAAAAATCGTTATCAATCTTTGATTAGGGGTGTGATTTGGCACTCAAAAAGTTTTGTTATTTTAAATAAAAATTAATTTTAATTAAAACAACATATTGAGGTATGTGTTACTAGAAAATGTGTTTGGGAGCCGATTACGTGTGGGGAAGGATTAACACCCCACAACGCCTAAATCGGTACATAGTCGATTAATTAATGTCTTTGCAATGACATTTACAAATTCAAATTTTAATATGATTTTTGATCCCATAAAATAACAAAATGTGAATTTTAAAATGAATTATTATATTCAAAAGTACCAAAATAGATTAAATTAAAAGTACCAAGTCTTTTTAGAAAGATAAAGAATATTCGATTATTTAAAAATATCGAGACCAGATCTTAGATAAGTTCTAACAATTTTTTCAAAAAACTTAAATAACGGAACATTTTTTTTCTTTCGTTCCAAATTTTAAGATGACGAACCATCTTTTAAAGTTTCACTGTTGGTATACATTTTAAATTTAAAATCATCAAAAGCGGCTCTCTAATAAATTAAGACAAGTCTCTCGTAACAATTTTAAATTAAAATGTATTACCCTTAATCCAATTATATAATTATAAGTCGAGTTATGTATATGAGGATAACACATATCATACAAAATGATATCATACAAGTTATGCACCACTCTACTCGTTAAATAAATGATATAAAGAATGTAAAAGTAAATACAAGTATACATATAATATAATATAATATAATATAATATAATATAATAAAGATATATTAAAATTGATCATGTTTTGGGTTGATTAAATATAATATGTATTCCAATAATTTTAGAAAAAAAGTATATACTAATCCATACTGCTAGCATATTTAATAATTTAGATAAAATAAGACAGAAACAACACTTACAAAGCACTAGGATAGGGCCAAGCCAACTCCAAACATGGTAAACACGTAGCCAGGACCAAAACCAAGGAGAGAAAATGATGCACAGAACAATCAAATAAAGCAGTAAAAGCCAGAACCTGCTCTCTTTATTTGGATGTAGCGTTCTTGGCGAAAGGTTTCCCTCCCATTTTATTTTCCAACTGGTTACGCAACGCTGACGAATCCTTCTCTCGCTTCAGGACCCAAAACTCGATTCAGCAGCTTTTCATTGTAGCAACTCCTACAGCTAACATGTCACGAACCATGTTTCTTTTCGGATGGTCCTCCTTTGGAAGGCTACTAGCAATCAGACACTTAGGCCTGGTGTTTAGCAAGGCGGCGGCTCTCGGTTTTTTCTGGTTAATTGCTGATAACTTCCCTTTCTCCCCCTCCTCCCCTTTCCATGAATGTTCTCCTTTTATGGGTGCAAGGTAGTGGTGGAGTAGGTAGTTGTTTTTGGTGGGATTTAGTTTATTATTTTTTAATGGATTAGTGGATTTAGGTTGGATTTTGATGGGATTTAGTTTGTTTTTTTATTAGTGGATTTAGGTTGGTTTGCAGGTGGATGATGACGATGGTCGGCTCAGTGGTGGCTCGGTGACTCATCGGTGGATCGACGACGGCTGAAACATTGGCTCGGTGGCGGCTCACGCTCCGGTCGGAAGATGAATAGTCAAACGATTGTTGGCTTCGATTTAGGGTTTCAAAAACCCTAAAGCTATTGGGTTGTCATCCGATGTTGGGCTTGAACCGGGTCGGGTCAGCTTCTGTTGGATCATTTGTAATTGGGCTTGAATGTATACTGGGCCTCGGAGATATTAATATGAGTTGGGCTCTCGGTGAGACCTGCAAAATATGTAAATAATTATTATTAGTAATGATAATAATAATAATAATAATGATATTTTTTTGATCCGGACAAAAATAGGTGTTTACCGTATTAAGCTTCATTATCCATATATATCACTTTTTAAATTATTTATGAAAATAGATATACATAAAATTATTTATTGAATTTGAGAAAATGTTAAATGATTCTTCAAAATCACATATCATTAGATATTATTTTTTAAAATTTTAAATATAATATTTTAATAATAAATATTTTTGAATAATTAAAAATAAAAAACACATATATCATCGTCGTGATCATTTTTTGAAATTTAAAAATTTCAACATTAGTTTAAAAATTTAAAAAGCATGTATGCTTTGTGCTAAGGAAATAGAGAGAGTATTAATTTTGCATTTTGTCGACGTTCAACTGATTTTGGGTGTGTAAATGTTCAGTTTACATGCTATCTTTGCAGTTAAAAGTAATATAACTGTATATGTATTATTTATTTTTTTCTGCAAAACATAAACAAATAAATTAATGAACGTTTCGGGAAAAAATATATTATTTCTTTCATTAAAAAAATTATCTTATTATTTTTTTTTCATTAAAAACATAAACCCTAAACCCCGACCAGCTAACACCATCTCATGCTCGTCTATGCGATAACAACAATAGCTGGAAACCCTGAACCCACTGTAATTGTTGGTTTGAGAATAATACAAAAGAAAATTAACCTTTTATACCCCTTAACATTTGATCCTAGCTCCGTCCATGTCTACATCTTCCGTTTGTAAGCAGATTGAAACTGGAAACCAACATGTAGTAAAACATATGCAACTAAGATAACACAAGTATTGCATTCTACTTATCCGGGGAAGAGAACATCGGAAAAGAACCGGAAACGACGGACCAAAAACCAGCATAGATGTAGCACCTAAAGTTAATGCTAGCTATTTTCACTCACTAGACAAGTAATGTTTCCTTGATATATTCCTAAACCATACAGCAAAATCATAAGCATTTCAAGGAAAGAGAATAAAAAAATGGGCACCTACTGAAGTTGTCGAGTGAGAAAGGCCAATTGCTCCAGCATTCGGAGAGGAGCTTTTGCAGTGAAGTGTTGAGGAATTGCCTGCAATATTCTCATTGCTGCTGAATTCTCCAACTGGCAGAGTGAAACATGGCAATCTTACTGTTTAAAGTACATCAACTACACTGAAAAACAGACCTTAACAAACTCATTGCAGTTTCCAAAAACTTTTTGCTTGTCAAAACAGTACCATTGGTATCGACCAAATTTATTCTCATTCACAAGTCGTTAACTTTACACTATCTTTGAAACATTTCAGATCAAGATTGATTTATCAGATCGTAAAATCAAATCCAGAAATAAGGTGGCAGTGCATAAATCTGCAGAAAAGCCCTTACCGACCATTTCCGTAAGAAGTTGGGTTGCCTTTGAGGTATAGTTGTTTCGTAGAAACCCCCCGGATCATTACATTATAACAGAAGCTATCAGGCAAAAAATCATTTTCTCCCATTCCCCTAAACAACTGATACGCTTCGTCTGGGAATCCTTCTTTACAGAATCCATTAATCATTGTAGAATATGTGTAAACATTCGGCTTTAAACCATTGACAGAGAGTTGATGAAACAATTCCTTTGCAACTTCAATATTCCCAGATTTGCACAAGCCATTGATTAAGATATTACAAAAGACAACATTAAGTTCCAACCTACTATTTTGCATTGCTTGAAAAAGTTCCAACGCATTTTCGAGTTTACCTCTTTTGCATAAACCATCCAACAAAATCCCAAAGGTCAATATATCCGGAACTTGTCTGGAAGCAAGCATCTTTCTCAAAAGTCCATATGCAATTGAAACTCTCCCTAATTGGCACATACCTTGGATAAGAGTGTTGTAAGTGACTGTATTCGGAAATGGTCCTTTTTGAAATATTTCATGAAAGAGTTCCATTGCTTCATCTACCCTTTTAGCTTTGCAATATCCGTTGATCATGGTGTTGTAACTACGTATACTAGGTGCACAACCCTTCTTAATCATTAACTGAAAGACTCTTCTAGCTTCTTCCATTTGGTTTAGCAAGCAGTGGCCGTTTATTAATGCATTATAGGTAACAACATTAGGCTCAATGCCTTTCTTTCTCATCGTATCAACAACATCTTCAGCTTCAAAAATGATCCCTTCCTTGCAATGTGCATCAACCAATATACTATACGTGACAACATCAGGCTCAATGCCTTGCTTTCTCATTATGCCAATGGTATCTACAGCTTCAGAAATCATCTCCTCCTTGCAATATGCATCAAGCAAAACATTATACAAGAAAATATCAAGTGAAATGTTATCATCCACCATTTCATTCAAAAGCCTTGTTGCCTCCTTCTGCTGGCCTAAATCACACATAGCATGAATTAAGCAAGTGTAAGTAACGATATCTGGTCTAATGCCCTTAACCTTCACTTGGGAGAAAAGATCAATGGCCTCATTTAGCAAGCCGTTCTTACAAAGACAGTCAATGACAGTGTTATATGCTATAATATCAGGTTCAAAACCTCTTTCTTCCATCATCCTTAGAAATCTAACAGCTTGTATCCCCGATCTTACACAACCCATCAAGTATTGTATTGTAGACAATCAAATTAGGTTGATACCCTTTTTCAATCATTTCATCAAACAGACTCACTGCCCTAGAAATCTTACTTTGCTTACAAAGTCCATTGATCAAAATGGAAAAGTTTACAACAGTAGGTTCAACACTAACTTCAGCATTTTCCCCAAAACAGAAAACCCAAAATCAATTTTACCTAATTGACAAAAGCAATTACTCAATATGCTCAAAGAATAGAGATCATGAGAAATTCCTAATAATTCCATCCGGCTATACATAGAAACAACAACGGCATAATGCTTCATTCTAGCAATGGCTCCTAATAATTTGTTGAATTCTACAATTGAAGGCTTTGGGTACTTATCAATCATCTTATTAAAAACAGTCAAAGCAGCGCCAACGTTATCAAAGTGACCAAACGTTTTTTGATTTAGCCTCACAGACATGGAATTCTTACTCAAAGCTTTTCTGTGGGTAGCAATGGATTTAAAAGAAGAAGAAGAAAAGGAAGAGCGGAAATTGGAAAGATTCGCTCTGCCATCAACAATTGAAGGAATAAGTAATGAAGAAATAAGCTTACCCATATGTTGAAATCAAGCAAAATTGAAAAGCAAGAGCTGAGCTTGAAATGAAACCAGCAATGGCGGCACTTCGAACTTGGGTAAATGAATTTTGGAAGTTGTTACTGGGTTTTCTTTGAACTTAGTATTTGAACGTTTGGGTAAAGTACATAAATGGTCACTAAAAATGCCTAAATAATTTTTAGTACAAAAATTTTAAACTTTTATGAAAGAAACATTAAACTTTGAATTTTATTATAAAATAAGGATCACACCATTAATTTTGTAGAATTTGTTCGATCGTTAAGCTTATTCCTAAAAATATCATAGTGTCCATATAATAGAATGATTAGAATCTATAAAGTGACGTCGGTGGTTAAAAGTAAATGTTATTCTCGTAAAGATCTTGGATTCAAGTAGTTACGTCTGTATAGTGTGTGTTATCAATGATTAAGAAAAATCTTGAACAAATACTCTCTTATAATTATGTCAAATTACGACTAAAAATGTTTCAAGTCCAAGTTTTTTCGAGCTATAGTCTAGCTTTAATTTTTTTTATTTTGAGTCGAGTTTGAAAATTTTAAGCTCGTAAGCTTTCAAGTCGAATAGAGCTTCAATTTTTTATTTTGAGTTGAACTTTACGATTTTAAACTTGTGAACTTTCAAATCAAATCGAACTCTTTTTTTAATTTTTTAATTCAAGTTGAGCTCAATAATACTCAAATTCGACTCGAATAATTTACTATCCCTACTTTTATTACTTGATAATCAATAATAGGTATATCCTTCTATTAATACAAGTCAACAACTCACACTTATATATAGTTCATCGTATATTTTGCCCATGCTTCCTATTAGGGCTGTAGTTGAAACTTAATTTCTCTTCTCTTCCAGCCCTAATAATTAAGTTATTATAGATTTATTATATTAATTTTATACTAATAGTAAGTTTCTAATTAAACATTGAATTAATCGAATATAAATTAAAGATGTGAATTAGATGTTTTTTAACCTGACTCTAGTTTATTATAACAGATTTTATTTAAAAAAGTAATGTTCAGGTCGAATTTAATTGGGTTGGGATATTAAATTATGAGTTCCGATTAGATTAGATTTGGATTTAGAGTTAAAAATATCTTAACTGGCTTAATCCAAAAAATAGCATAATTATACATTACATATTTAGGGGATAATTACAACAATATTTCTATATATATTATTATTTTTAATTAGATCCTATTTTATCGAAAAAAATTAAGAATTATATATATATATATATGTCGGGTTGGATGTAAGTTTTATTTCAAAAGAAAAATTGGATTTCATGTTAGATGAAGTCACCCTAAACACGAGTCAAAACAAGTTTCAGACGAAGTATTTTTATCGGATCGAGTTAGATTGACCAAAAATCCGACTCATACTCATCTCTAATATCAACTAAAAATATATTATTATTATAGGGTGAAAAATATTTCACCGATCTAGTTCAAAAAAATATAATTACACTTTATATATTTGAGGATAATAATAATTTCTATCTCTATATTATTATTTTTAATTATATCTCTATTTTATCAAATAAAATTAAGAAATATATATATATATAAGATCAGATGTGAGTTTTATTTCAAAAGACAAGTCAGTTTTCGAGTTAGGTGAAACCACCCTAAATCCGAGTCAGAACAAGTTTAAGATGAAAGATGTATTTTTATCTACTCAAATCTGATTAACTAAAAACCTGACTCGTACCCATCTCTAATATCAACTAAAAGTATAGTTAAAAATTTCATTTATAGAGGGCATAAAAAATCATTTATAAAATAATAATATAAAGAAATAAATAAAAAATTATAATAGAACCCCATAATTTCATTTAAAAACTATAAATTTATCAAAATTTCCCAAAATTATAAAAATATTGCGCAGATATATTTTAATTCTCCCATATAAAATTAATAAATCTACAACGTCTCCCTAAACCCACCATTAATAAAGTAATAAACCTATTCATTAGGCTAATATTATATGTTAGGATTCTAACAATATTATTTAATAATTAAAATATAATATGATAAACATGGGATGCATTAACGGTCTACAGAAGTCTTTGAGTCGTTGGCGCTCCCGTGACACGTTGATCGTATAAAATTTGTTCATTTCTAATTTTAGTCCTCAACTGTGATCAAACTTAATATTTAACTCTTATATTGTTAATTTGACATGATTTAATCAATTACTTTTATAATATTATTAACTGATATAAATAGAATATTTCTTCGAAATAGGGACGACAACTGATCCGATCGGGTCAGATTTTTAGCCGTCTTGAACTTGATTTGAAAATTGAAGTCCTTTACTCGCACCTGACTTAATTTAGGTTAAGGAGGGCCCTCACCCGACCTGATGTTTTAGGTTGAAATCAACACCCGATCTGATTCGATCTAACCCGACCTGACTTATGTATAATTTATTTGTATTAGATAAAATAAATATATATAGAAAATAGAAAATGTTATTATTATAATTATCTCTAAATATATAAAAGATAATTATAATATTATATTTGATAGGGTATAATCAATTTATTCACCCTAAATTTGAATCCGATCCGACTACATCCTAAAAGAACTTGACCCAAATTCAAAATTTTAAAATAAAGAAACGATTCGATTATATTGAACTAAATATAAATTGGGAATATAGTAAAGGGACTAAAATCATAATTTAATCTATAAAAAATTTGTATTTCTGACAACACGCGCTCCCTCTCTCTCTCTCTCTCTCAGCTCAGCTCCTCTCTTTAATGTTTCCACTCACTATTTACAGTCCACTAAATTTACAAATTATTATTGTTTTTGCTTTGGGTTGTTTCCATTTTCTAGATAAAGTTGAAGGAAATTCCGGGTTTTGTTTTGGAATGTTGATGAAAGAGGTAGTTTGGTCGTGATGACGGGGAAAGCGAGTTTACAAGCGACACTTTCGGGGTGGTATCCACCGGATGTTAATCTCAAGCCGACGAAGAACCGAAGGACACGTAATACGAGGTGCAGGCCGCCGAAAACGCCGTTGTTGAAATGGGAGATGGAGAAGAACGACGGCGGAGTTGAGGAGGAGCTCGAGGATGAAGAGGTTGGAGATCGGAGACGGCGGAGGAAAGGAGCTTCGACGGTTTCTGCGAGGAAGCTTGCAGCTGGATTGTGGAGGTCGCAGTCGCCGGGTACGGTGACGCCTGGTGATGGAGAGAGGAGGAGGGATCAGATAGGGGTCAAGGTTAGATTTTTAACGTGTTTTTGCTGCTCCAAGATCTATGCTTTTCTTTTTCTTTCGATGTTTGTAGCCTTCTGGTATAGTAATGAGAACAATGTGATGCGATCAAAAGTATGTTTACAATCCATAATTACATTTGCTGATATTTACAATCCATCATTGCTCAATTTTTTTTTACTTTTTGATGTTTACAATGCCTTGGATTATGCTTGAATGTAAAGGAAAATGAAGCTTTCATTACTTGCTAATGTAATTTATTGATATGATTCACTATCCGAAGGTCGGTTTCTTGATGGTTTATCATGTTTGAAGTTTGTCATCATCGAATGCTGCGATAATCCTTTAATTCTCCGATTATTATCCGATTTTCAGAGCAGTGTTTCATTGATTAGTTGTAATTTGGTTTGTGTATAAACATATTGAGTTCATCATGTTTAATTTCTTGCAGGCCGGTATCGATTTCATCGGTTCCCCATTAGTTCATCATCATGAGGACAGAATTCATGGTTCAAATGCAAAGGATCCGTTGCCGAGCCCTGCTTCTGTCTCTGGCACAAAGAATGGTCTCCTGCACAAGGCATGCCCGCTTCTTCGAGCTCCTTAGTCGAATCTTGAACTTTTAATGGACTAATCAATATGTAAAACATTGAGTTTGAATCGCATAGGCTCCGTTTCTGTTGCTACTTTATCGATTTCTTTACTTTCCCGACCGTTTAAGTTTTTTTTGTACCCTTCTGATCTTATCTGCTTCTTTTTCCCTTTTAAGATTGAGCCTTCGATCCGATATTCGAACTCTGCAATGGAGGGAGCAACAAAGTGGGATCCGGTCTGCTTAAAATCAACAGACGGGGAGATGGAAATTTACAGCCAAATGAAGCATATTGACCAACAAGCAAGTGCAGAATCAGTTGTTTCTGCCCTTGAGGCTGAACTAGAACAGGCTCAAGCTCGAATTGAGGAGCTTGAGAGGGAGCACCAGTCCTCAAAGAAGAAACTTGAGCACTTCTTGAGGAAAGTTAGCGAGGAAAGGGCAGAGTGGCGGAGCAAAGAGCACGAGAAAATACGTGCATTCATCGATGATGTCAAAGCTGACTTGAATCGAGAAAAGAAGAATCGCCGGAGGATGGAAATTGTCAATTCGAAATTGGTGAACGAGCTGGCTGCTGCAAAGTTATCAGCCAAGCAATATATGCAGAGCTATGAAAAGGAAAGAAAGGCCAGAGAACTGGTCGAAGAAGTATGTGATGAGCTTGCCAAGGAAATTGCAAAAGACAAGGCTGAAGTGGAAGCATTAAAGAGAGATTCCGTGATGCTTCGAGAGGAAGTCGATGAGGAAAGAAAGATGCTGCAGATGGTCGGGAACTGGCGCGAAGATTGTGCTCAGATGAAACTCATTGATGCAAAGATAGCCCTCGAGACGAGGTACTCGCAAATGAACAAACTTGTAGCAGATTTGGAGACTTTTCTCAGGTCAAGGACCGGAACTCTGGATCCGAAAGACATGAGGGAAGCAGAATCACTTAGACAGGCTGCGGTCTCAGTTAATGCCCCAAACCTGGATGACATTTTAGCTGTTTTTGAAGATGAAGCTTTACCTGAAGCCAGTGAAACGGAAATTGAGTCCTGTGTTGCATATAGTTCTGCCAGCTACGCCTCAAAAGTTCACACGGCGAGTCCCGAAATAAGTATGACAAGAAAAGGCGGCTTTCTGAGACATTCAAGTGCTAATGTTGAGAAAGAAGATGAGAGTGGATGGGAAACTGTCAGCCATCTTGAGTACCCGAGCTCGAGTTGTTCACCAGGAGGGAATGCTGCATCTGTAAATAAGACTAATTGGCACAACTATTTCTCAAGTACTGAAACTGAAGGGGGACTATGTTCTTTGCCTGATGGACAGTTGAAGAAGGTTTCTTCCATGGCAAGGCTTTGGAGATCATGCCAAAAGAAAGTAGAAAAATACAAAACAATCTCTGTAGAAGGAACAAACGGCAGGCTTTCGAATGGAAGGAAGTTAAATTGGGGCATTATGTCCCCGGATCAAGAGTCCATTAACGGCGGTTTCAGTCCCTCAGAAATGGTGGGACGGTGGAGCTCACCTGACTCCACTCATCCACACATAACAAAAACGTGCAGCGGATCGTCTGGCGGTACACAGACAAGTAGTTTGAAGGCAAAGCTTTTGGAGGCGAGAACCGAAACTCAGAAGGTCCAATTACGACATGTTCTTAAACAGGAGATTTAGAAGTAGATGGTGATTTGAACAGGTTAGCTTCTGCCATTTGTACTGTATCCCAAGGATCCGAGGGTATCAAGGAATACAAGTTCAAGGTAACTGAATTAAGAACATTTATCATTTGTAATGCTTTGTTTTTCCTTTCTGTAATTCTGTTCATAAGAGATGTTTCTTTGGATTTCTTATGGATAAAAAACAAGAATCATAACATTGTTCTCTGATAGATTGGGTTACTATCTGCAGCCAACCAAGAATGGTACATGCTCATAGTGTAATCTAAAAATGTCAGTGTCAGGTTATTTTCATTTGATGTAGTGTAAATTTTTTTTAATGATATCATGAAGCAAATGTTGAACATAGATTTTATTCTATTGAAAATGAAAGTTCATGGTAACTTAGCCTATAACATGATTATGTTGACTAGCTAGTTTAGCTAAATCAGAAGCATTAAGCACAGATATTAATACATGTATACCTTAACAAGATTATATATGAACCAACCGAATAGGAAACCAGAGATATCTCCGAATCGATCTTCAATCCACTTTTAACAACATCGAAACTAGATCAATGTTGTAGACATTGACACAGTTTCGAGTAGGAAAGGGCATGGTGGATTAGGAACTTGTACAGCACCTTCAAGCATCATTGTAACAGTCTTCATGGAAGGCCTTAACATTGGCTCTTCTTGAACACACCAGATCGCCACTTTCAACAACATCTCCAATTTTGCAACATCAACCGTAGCTTCTTCATCGTTTTCGACCAGTTTTTCAATCATCCCTGCACTGTAACATTGGAAGGCCCATTCTGTTAATATTGCCGCTTCTTCCATTTCTACTTCAACACATCTTCTGCAACATATGATTTCCAACAACACCACCCCGAAGCTGTAAACATCGACCTTAACCGAAACTGGGGTGTTTCTGAACCATTCGGGTGCTACATAGCCTTTTGTCCCTCTTATGCCTGTCTGCGTTTGTGTCTTGTTGTTCATTAGAAGCTTTGCCAACCCGAAATCGGATATTTTCGCGGTGAGCGACTCGTCCAACAGTATATTCTGTGGCTTTATGTCACAATGGATAATCTGTTTACTGCATTCTTCATGCAAGTATGTTAGTCCCTTTGCAATCCCTGATGCAATTTGCAATCTTTGTTGCCAACTAGGCCTTAGGACTCCGAAAAGGAAGCTTGACAACGAACCATTTTCCATGAACTCGTACACCAGAAGTCTATGTTCACCTTCATCACAGTAGCCAACTAGTCTCACCAAGTTCTTGTGGTGAGTTTGGCCGATGACCTTCACTTCGGTTTTGAATTCCCTTTCACTATCTTGGGCAAAATTTTCTAGTTTCTTGACTGCAACACGATCTCCATAACCGAATGGCAATTCTCCTTTATAAACCGTGCCGAAAGCACCCCTTCCTAGTTCTTCTTTGAATCCATTCGTGGCATGCTCGAGATCTTTGTATTCGAAAAACTGCACATTAGTCTCTAAGTTTCTTCTACTACGAACACCGGTTAAGTCATGAAGTCTTCTTCGGAATAAGCAGAAGAAGATCAGAGCAATTGCAGCTAGAGAAAAGAAGTTGAAAAATGCAGAGGTGCCTAGGAGAACCCCAAGGATCAAAATTATTTGATTTCGATTTTCATCTCTTTGATTCGGCCTGGCTGGTTTTGTCCTCGAGGCGTCCGACTTAAGTACCTTAAATAGAGCTGTCCTATCAACGCGATCTCTGTCAAACAACCCATTTGAAAGTGGCAGTTTCTTTTTCCAACAAGTTCCACTGCCATCTTCACTTAAAGTTGGATCCTGCAAAATGGCAACTGCACAAGAACAGTCAAGGAGGCAAGATTGCCTACATTCCAACTCGGTTGCAGGCTGCAAAACTCCATAGTCACCGAAAGGAAAATCGGCAAACGACATTGACTTGAACTCGAACCGATCTTCCCCAATGGTGGATCCATCAGGGTTGCAATCTGCAGGGTAGTTTGCATAATCTTGTTTGCAGCCTGCATATTGATTGCTGTCATCCAAGAAAGAAAATCCAGGGGGACATGTACAATTAGGCCTCCCATTGGCATTGATAGGTTCACAAATGCTGTTATAACCGCAAGGGTTCGTTCCAAATGTATCCCGACCGGAATTGGTCCTTCTCTCGACAAAGCGACGACATATGTTCCTCGGCGTAAACCACAAAGCAGACCAGCTTCCACCACCACCACCGGGGTTCCTTGGATAATAATATAGAGTGAAAACTCCATAAAAGTCAAGCGTCGCCCTGTAGTAGTACAACTCTGGTTTGGGAACAGCATTTACTGGTGCAACCTCGACTAGACTTCCATTTGAATTCGAGATCTGGATATGCCCTGACTTGTTGAACACAAACCGAGAACCATTTCCCAAAACAGCGTAATCTTCATAAGGCTTTCTAGTGAACACATCTAGTTGATTAAGAACAAAAGATCCATCACTAAAACGAAGTTGATATTTCCCCTTACCTGAACTTGTTTCAGACAAAGTTGATAAAAGATATCCATCGACACCAAGTTCTTGTCCCGGTAAGACGGTGTCGGTCGGATATTTGAAGCTTTCCCATATGTTGGTCGAGTTTCTGCTTACAATCACAAAGTTCCCTGTGTCGAGCATGGCTGCATGAGACACTGGAGCATCACCAGTAATGCCCGGAGACCTCCACAACTCTTTGCCAGTAGGGTCTGTAAGCACAAGACGACCAGTCGGAAGGAGCTCAACCTTCGATTCTCTATCGATTGCCGGGTTATCAGCAAACCAGACAATGGTTCTTTCGGGTATCTTAGCATACCAGACAATGGTTCTTTCGGGTATCTTAGCATACCAGATTGCAAGAAGAAACTTATCTTTTTCACCAGAAATGGAATGAAACCCGAAGGCAAAATCACCTGATGGTGATTGCCATGCACCGTTTTTGTCATTTGCAGAAAGAGAATCACCAACACTTACATTTCCTTGAGCCTCAACTTTTGCAAGAACCCAAAGGATGGTTGTGAAGAAAATCAACAGCATATGTGTATGAAAAGGTGCAGAGATAAACATTGAAACAAAATAAAAAAAACTACGAAACTATGGGTATGAAAAAGTGCAGAAATAATCGGCAAATGCTTTGACGTGTCTAAAATCTTGCATTGTTTGTCAAATGAGGTTTACAGATGTAATTGATGATTGGAAGATGCTTGGAAATTGTCGAAGTCATCAGGAATTTGTATTTTCTTGAAGATTGAATGTTGGAAACGCAAAGCAAGCTTGAACATGACTTGAGTTGTTACTTTCTTTGAAACTTCAAAGTACTTAATGTTATTCTAATGACTAAGATACATGTTCATGTAAATTTATTTAATCAATGGTCATATCTAGGATTGGAACGATCACAAGTTCTAGGATTGAAAACATTTAAAAGTTTAGGGATCAATTTAGAATGTGAGTTGAAATGTTCAAAAATTTAACAATCAATTTAGAATGAAATTTATAGTATGAAGTTTGGTGCAATTAACTCTATGAATCTATTCATTTTATATTTAATAAATTATTTTTTAATTTATTTTAAATATTATTAGATTATGTTTTAATTTATATTTTAATCTAAATCATTTTATTTTAAATTTAACTATATATTAGTTTTTTAATATATTTCATATTTGTTGTAACTCATCTTTGTTTTTTTTATTCTTATTTTAACTTAAAATACAAGATATAAATCATATATTATCAATTAGAAATCATCTAATAACTCATCAAGTGACATTATTGATGGAAATGAATGTAATCCTCACTTGAGGTCCTGGTTTGAATAACTACGTTTGTAAGGTGTGAGTGTTGTCAATTGGTAAAAAAAATTATAAACAGACATTACCTTGTAATCATCCCAAACTATTAAAAAAACCACGACCTAACGAAATAAAGGGGGCATATTTTATTATGAAACTAAATTATGATTACGGATCTAAAAGAATTAAAACTTTGAAATAATATTATATATGTTATGTATATATTAAATAGAACTCCGAACGAAAATGAGTGACTACAGATACTTTTATTTCAATTCTTTTAAATTACTAAAATACTGATACTTTTATACATATACTTATAAAGGTATCGATACATGTCTACTTTTAACCGATTTTCTTCACTTTCTTATATAGTACTATATATATCAATACTTTTATGCATGGTATCGATACCTACTGATAAGCAAAGTTTGTCGATTGTCAAAATTTTTATTATTTCTTCATGTTTTTTATATACAACATTATTGTTAGTCAACATTTCCTGTCACACCATTTCTTAATCGTATATTAATCTACCTTTCTTTAGACACGACTCCCGTTATACCCATTGTTGTAATGCCTCTAAAAAGTCTTCCGAGAGAGGTTTCTGTAAGAGCTCCGTCATAGAGTTCTTCGTAGTAGCTTCATAGAATGACTCGTCCGACCTATGCTTGTGTACCCACTGTAACACCTCAACCCGTATCCAACCCGAATACGAGTCTGGGGTGTCATATTGACTTTTTAAACTTTGACTCTTGACAAAATTCAAAGAAAATTTAAAACTTTCATTAAAATAAAAACTGTTTATTTACATAAATTGACCAAAATATCCAAAATCGATCAGAGCATATTCAGCTCAATCAATTAGTACATGCCAACTATGTTCAGATTAACCAAACACATTTAAATCATTTATTTTCTGATCTGAAACTTTGTAAGGAAAATGCTGACCTGTCTTGCTCCTCTTAGCTTCTCACTTTGCTTTCCAGAACCTACGTGTGAAACACTCACACGCTAAGTCTATGACTTAGTGAGGCATTAAACACATTAAAGTAACTTTAACTACTTAATCATGCATGAACATATCATATCATGCTATCATACAAAATAATATAGCATTTCATGTAATCAAATGTACACATATACACATTCATCATATCAATCATTTAATACAATTCATATCACAAAAGCATATACTTTACATGTAATATATATGTTTATTATTATCTCTTTGTTAGCCCATGTACATCTGTGAGAACTGTAGATATGTGAGTCTATTGAGGTTGTGCACTATGCTGTCACCACAGCTCGTATGGGGTCCAACTAGGGGCTATGAATTTTGTCCCGAAGGACCTATGTACTGTATATGTCCCGAAGGACCACTCCTTAAGAACCATATACATATTTCAATGGATCATATATATGTCTCATAAGACCCTGTAAATATTCCAAAGAATACATATATGTCTCGAAGGACCACGTAGAACCCTCGACTCTTGGCATGCCAACTATACCTCTAGCTCTCTTTACACATAACATGGGCATTAGCAATCTATCATGTCACATATTCACTTATACACTTTCATATCACGTCATATAAGCTCATAGCTTCTTTCACATATGCATGTAGTCACATAGCTTCTTTTCATATTCTCATAAGATTACATAGCTTATATCTTATACTTTGTTTTCTCATGTTCACATATATCCTGTCATATGGCTCATATATATATATATACATCACATAGCACATACTTCTCATATCATTACATTCAAAAGCATGTTAACAAATATAATTATGCATACATACAATTTATGTCATGCATATACGTATAATCATGTATTCATGCATTCAACATAGGAAATAGACTTGTCACAAGTCTTGTTTCCATTTAGCACCATAAACGAATTAATATGCACTCACCTGAGCCTCACTAAGTTCCAATCCACTTTTATGATTTTCATTTCTTTCGATCGAATCTTAACTTGATGATCGTTCCGAAACTTGTTCGTGTTCGATATCTACATAATCACATATTGATACATATCAGTATCCAATTGATATACTCTAATCTATCATTTCTTAGACTAAAAAAAATGTCTATTTCAATTTCCCCTTGAAGTGCATCGATGCATTCTACAGTGCATCGATGCATTCTTTAACATGTGCATCGATGCACTACCCATGCATCGATACACAAATTACCTTTGATGTTTTCATTTTAAGGGGATGCATCGATGCACTCCTTATGCATCGATGCACTAATTGCATTCGATGTTTCTTCTTTAAAGAGTGCATCGATGCACATTGAATATGCATCGATACACCTTGCCCAGAATTTGCATTTTAGCACGAAAATCATCAACTCTTCCCTTATTTCTTCTATTTTAAGCCTCTAATATGTCATGAAACTCAACTACTATTACTTAAACCAACTTATATCCATGTAAATCATCTTTAACCTCAAAATCTTATCTTCCTTATGAAATTCAAGAATCATACTCAATTTCTAACATGTTCCAAATTCCATTCAATTGCTTTTAACTTCTTAATTAGACCATTGACAAGTCAAATCCAGCTTTAGAACTTCAAAAAACTTTCTATAACAAAAGTCCATTTCTATACCCTTCATATAATTTCCTTTTTAATTCTCTATTCTTGATGTTTAAAGCTTATATAAGTTTTCCTTAACCTTATATAATACTCAAAGAATCAAAATCAACTTATAAATCCAAGAATTAAACAGCTGAAATTAAACTCACATTTGCTCAGCACGTTGGAGAAGAAGAAAGCAAGAAGAAGAATAGTTTTCCAGATACTCCTTCCCCTCCCACGTGTTTATCTCTTCTTAAAGAGAGAAATAAAAATATTTTTTATGACAAATGACTACTATGTCCTTAATTCCTTTAATAATTACTAACAATTTTCTGGAAATATTCCTAAATAAATCATTGAACTATTTCATTCTTCTACTTTAGTCATTAAATTCTGAAACTTTACAATCTGATCACTAATCCGGTATTGAAGATATTACACCTACTTTCATGACATGACGTGGATGTGATCATAGTTGCCAACGTAAATCTCAATCACAGAATCATATCGCTTGGAGCAAGTAGACATTCAGATGCCATGATGTTCTGGTCTACATAGCTCAATCTTATCACCTTATTCCTTTATCTAATTCGTCTATTTGTTCCTGGTATTTCGGGATGACACGTAAACAAGATATAAAAGAAAAGAGACGACGATAATAAGAGACAAACAATATCCTTTCAACATGTGATATGAACGACTCTTTATTTACACCAATTGAAACGAACCGTCGTGAATTGCCGACTCCAATATTTACTCTCATTAAAAATATATTTTCTTCGGCTGATAAATTTTAAGAAAAAAATTTTTGTTAACAATTTAAAAGATTATAATTTTATTGATAGTTGATGGAGTAATATTGCTTCAAGAAAATAAAATAATATTTTCATGATTCATGAAGTTAAAAGTAAAGTTTGATTTTGTAGGAATTATTTTATATTTGAAATTTTAAATGCAACAAATCAACTTTTTTTAATTCAAAAGGCCAAAATAATAATAAATTAATAAACAAAACTTTAGGTCAAATTATTATTGGAACATTTGATAGACTCGAGACAGATGGGCATTAGGACTAATGATGAGCCATAATGGATGGTAGTTATACCAATTCCTTTTAGAGGGTGTTTGGACGGGTATGTGAGATTATTTGAGGAATATTTTTTTTCGGAACGTGATTCTTTTTTTTGGATTGCAATGATTCTCAACTTCGGTAATAAGACATTTTTAATATTGATATTTTGAGGCTTATTATTGGGAATGTGATTTCCTTACTCACTTGGGTATTTATCATTTCCTAGCATTTTGGACTTAAATGATATTATAATAATTTATTTTTCAAAATTATCATTCTTCTGTTGTTGAATAAAAAAAATTGTACGAAGGTTAAATTGTAAATTTATCCTTAAACTATTTTAAATTTACAAAAAAAATCTATAATTAAAATTTTATATAAAATTCAGGGGTTAAAATAAAATTAAACCATTTCTTTAAACCTATTTATCTTTTAAATTTTGTAAATAAAATTATAAAAAAAATATGAATTTAAAATTTTTAAAAAATATATAAAAATTAATTATAGTAAAATTATATATTTTCACTGATGTTACATTCAAATATTTTTATTTGAATATTTAGAATTCAACTTGTTAAAAAAACAAATATATAATAATGATAATTTGGTAAAATATATATTTAAATAATCTTTTATTTCTTTAAACAAACACTGTAATCTTACATACCTGCTAAACGAACCAAACACAACAATGTAATATTCCCAATAATGTGTTAGGTAATGTTACATTCTAATAATTCTATTCTTGGAAGTAATGTTATATTTTATAAAACAAACTCACCCTTAAAGTTAATTAAAAATAATGTTATTAATATATCAAATAAAAACAATAATGTTATTAGACGACAAACATACTTTTTAAATCCAGTCAACTAAAACTTAATTGATTATTTATATTTATTTTTAATTATATTAAATTTTACATTGTATCTTGATTCATTTTTCCATATCATACGATTGAATGCCAAAATGGTGGGATAATATATTCAATAGATCAAGATTAAAACCTTTGGGGTTGTTTGATAAAATAAAATGATTAAACGCTCAATGATTTAATGATCTGAATGATTTAAAGACTCTGTATGAATTGGCTCTGAATGTGACATGCTGTTTGATAATGATTATAAATGTACAATCTGAATTATGAATATTTTCATTTTTACATTTTTAATGATTTATTATATTATAAGATATGATTGTTTAATAAGATAACATGTGAAAAATAGGTATTATGGTAAAATACCGGATGTTTAATGATTCAGAATATACTTTAATACTGAATCATTCAGCAGTATTTTATTGTTTCATTCAACATAGTCTTCATTCAGAGGTGAGAATCAAACACGCTGAATATTGAACGGTTCAACATTCAACGCTGAATAATTATATTCAACAATAAACAAACGCCCCTTTATCACCTACCACCTTTTCCTTTAATATCAAATTATTACTTTTTGAATAAAATAATATTATATTAAATATGATAATTAATAACTTTTTACTTTTTTATATGATTAATATTACATATAATTACTTTAAATATGCACCAAAAAGAAATAATAACCCACATTCACATTTTCTGCCGCAATTTCACATAATGATAACAATTTTAAAAGAAATTGGAAAAAGAATATAAGAAAATTTGCCTAAGAAAATCATATAGAAAAAGAAAATTATTTATAATCTATTGTTTATCAAGAAAATTATATACGAAAAATATACTAAATTTCAATAGTATTTTTTATGTCAAGAAAATTATTTTGATTTTTATATCAAATGTTACGTATATTTATAATCGAATACAATATTCATACAACACACTACTTTTCTGAGTTAACAGTAAAATAATTTCACTAATAATTTTTTGTCACCCACATAATTTATTTTCAGAAAAAGAAAATAATATTTTACTTAATTTTGAAAAAAAATCTTTTTAAGTTTTACTAGAATTTGCAATGGATATTAAAATTTATTATATAATATATAAATATTATATCAAATATTGTAGGTCAATATGTATCAATCGATAATTTTTTTTATAAATATCAATCGGTATTAATTGAAATAAATGGCGAGACACTAAAAATTTAATTAAATTTAAATTACTTAATATCAATTTAAGACTACAATAATTCACAATCATGCAAAGCAATTAATTTTAAATTATAAACTACTATTTTAAGATTTATTTTTTTAAAAAAAATATTGGAGTATTTGATACCTAATTTCAAGTAGGTTGCTATAAATTATTTGGTTCTAACAATTTTATTTTTAATTATAATTGATATTTGTTTTATTTATCGATTAATTCAAATAATTCATTCAATCTAATATTTTATATTTATAATACTAAAATTTAAAATCTTAATTTTATTTAAGAGATATTAGATCTCCTCGCTCGACCAATTAGTAATTAGTCTTAATAATTTTATTTATCACATTATTCCAATTTTAAAAAAAAAATCCATTGCAAAATTAGCTTTGCTTTGCTTTTACGTTGCATCTTTTCTTTCACATTAAGAAATTTTCTTCTTTTTTAAGAAAAATATATTATGAAATGCTAAAAAAAGTAATAATTGATAAAAAGGTAATTTATTCTTTACATATTGAATTCGAAATGGAAAATTATTTAAAATATTTTTATAATTAAATTTAATTAAAATTATTTTCATTTAAATAAACCATACTTAAAAGAAATTGAATCCGTACCTGGACAAATGTAAGGCCGAGTTTGTATGTGGGGGTAAGAGAAGCTAGAAAAAAAAATAGAGAAAATATGTGATTTGACCATTTCAACAAATTAAGAAAAGCAAAATATAAAAGTCTAATTCTAATTTTAGTCCCTACTCTATGATAAAAACCAAAATTTAATCATCTAGTTTAATTCGATATGATATTTCTACTTTTATTCTGGGCAAAATTTTAGAATATTATTGTTGAAAAAATGACTCGAATGATGTGGAACACGAATTATTTCGTGAAATTGGGTGTTTGCTACAGCTCGAACCGAATGCCAAGAAGATAATGTATCTTTAATGGGGTTGGGGGAGATGCATGGACTGTAATACGTCTCCCCATCCGACACACTCTAAATGCAATTCTATGGTAAGTCACCCTATTTCAATTGACAATTGTTGTAAATAGGTAGGAGAATAAAATTGCAATTGGTAATTTAAGCTGGGATTGGAGACGCATAGCTCTCCATGCGTCTCCCTTTGTGTCACTGACACTGCAACACATCTGCAAGTGTGACACTAAGACTTCAACATGTCTCCCGTTCGGATTGTAGCAAACACCCTATTTTAAATTGATACATTGTTAACTATTGTAATCAAAATGATGAATTAATTTTTTTTACTAGTAATCAAAATGATGACTTGGATTATTTTTACTATTATTCAGTCACATAAACAAAATCATATAAAAATTTAGTCAAATATATTAAATCAATAGTAAAATTATATTCAAATTGATTTTTTTTAATAATTCGTACTTAAAAGGAGGGAAAAGGAAATTTTATTTCTAATGGATATTGAACCCACAATCGTGGGAAGAGATGAAGTATCAACTGAAAACTTTTAACCACATCCTCTAAAACTAATATACAAAATGATTTTATAATTAAATTTAATTAAAATAATTTTTAAAATTGTAGTAGTTTGATTATATTATATTTATAGTTGTCAAACTATATAATTGTTCAAGAATAAAAGCAATGATGATGTTATCAATTTGACTCAACATATAACATCGCAAGAGTTGAGGGATCAAAATGTCAAATTAAGGTAAAAGACTATTAGAGGGAATAAAACCGAATTAGACCCGCTATAAAACAGAATAATAAAAATCAAAACCAACCCACTAAAACAATGATGGTGTCTTCATGTTCCCATCCCTCCTATCTTCTTCCTCCCGCCACAATCTCCTTCTCTTCCTTTCCCATTGCATTTATTGAGTTAGCCCTTCAACTTCAACCTCTTATATTCTCTTTTTAAATTTCTTTAGAATCTTAGTTTTCTGTGTGTTGATTTTCTCAGTTTACTTCATTTCAACCGCTTTGAGTAATTTGTGTCAATCTGAAGTTTCGATTGTTTGCCGATGAGGATATCCCGAGGTGGTGCCGCCGCCGCAGAAATGAAATCGGCAGTTGAACACAGAGGATCTTTGAAAGAGCCGAGGTACATAGGTGTTAGAAAAAGGCCATGGGGAAGATTCGCCGCCGAGATTAGAGACCCATGGAAAAAGACCCGAGTTTGGCTCGGGACTTTTGGCTCGGCCGAAGACGCCGCACGAGCCTACGATGCAGCGGCGAGGTCACTCCGTGGATCCAAAGCGAAAACGAATTTTCCCGTGAATCACACCGATATCCCACCTTTCGTAGATGGTTTCATTGACCGCCGTGATTTTCAAGACCCGGAGGTGAACCCACAGAGACCCGAGAGGAGTGGCATGAGTAGTACAGTGGAGTCATTCAGTGGGCCGAGACCGGCGGCACGGCCGCCACAAAAGTCGACAGATTTTGCGGCGGTCTCGGCTCCGAAGTATCATCCGAGAACGCCACCTTTGGTGCCGGAGGATTGTCACAGTGACTGCGATTCGTCTTCGTCGGTCGTTGATGATGGGGATATCGCTTCGTGCCGGACAATGTTGCCTTTGATCTCACTGTTCTATGTCTTTAATCACCATGATCATATGATGATGATAAATTATTGAATTTTTCTTTCTTTTCTTTAAAAAAAAAGGAGAATAAGAGACACGATTGATGAAACTGGGCTTAATTCGTATGAAATCTGTCTTTGATTTTTATCGCCTGATAGATCTTTGTTTTTAGAATTATGATTATGATTTAGGGTTTGTGATATCATTCCTCGTATCTCAATTTGTGATTTAGGGTTCTGATAATTTTTTATATAATATTTAAGATAGTTTACGGTGTTGACGTAATAATTTATAATATTTTACGGTGTTGATATTATCGCTCATGATAAATGATGATATTATATAGATATTTACTTAATAATTTAGTTATATTTAAAATTTAATTAATTTAAGAAAACTTTGAAATTTTTTTAATTTTTAAATCTATATCTAATTTTCTTAACCAAATAATTACATTAATTTTTCCTCAATTTAATAGTTACAGTGAATAAAAAATTTCAGAAGTTACATTATTATTATTATTATTTATTTTTGCAAAATTTTGATAACATTAAATATCATTAAGTTATATTTAAATTATTTAATATTCAAAAAAAATTATTTATTAATAACTTTAATTATTAAATGTTTTAGGTATAACTATTGAATCCAATCTATTGTTTGAATTTTCAGGATTAGGTACTTCAGAGGTGATAACGACTCTTTTAGCTAAATTTGCTCAATTTATAAATGTTAATATTCGAGTTCCTGATTTTACTTAAGGGATCTAATGCTTCACCTACTAGACCAACTGATTGTTGGTTAATTATTAATCTTATTAAAAATGTTATAATTATGAATAAAATATACTAATTATATTTATTTTTAAATGGTTTATATATTTAAATTGTGTGTGTATATATAGGGGGTTAAGGAAAGAGAATTTGATTCATGCATTCAATTCAATCACAAGAGTGAAGAGTGAAGAGTGAAGAGATAACAATTTTCATTCCTTAGTTGTGATTCAATTTAATGTATTAATTTAATTTTCTTCCAATAAATAAAATAATAATAATAATAATTCGTGTGACATAATATAATTATATGTATTTAAAAATTCTAAAACTATTAATTAAATTCACTAATTTAAGTAAATGATACCATTTTATTTTAATAAAAAAAACAATTAAAAATATTAAAATATTGTATCAATAGATACATATCAATATATATCATTCAAATTGATATTAACTAAAATAAACTAAAACACATGATTTTTTTATAAAATAAAATTTAAATTATTTAATATTAGGGTAAAGTACACAAATAGTCCATGACTATAGGATACTACTTTGTTGAGTCTCCAAACTATTAAAAGTTACAAAATAGTTTCCCAATTATAAGACGTTCATTTGTTGAGTCCCCAACTATTAAAAGTTACAAAATGATCACCCGCCTATTCATTATGTTCAAAACTCGTTTTTTTCGTTAAAAATTAATGATAGCCTGAGTTGGACGATAACCTGCTGACTGAGATATGATAAAATATGATCTCATAATCTCAAACGACTATCATATCTCAGTCAGTATGTTAACGTCCAACGCAGACGACCATTAATTTTTTAACGAAAAAGGACGAGTTTGGAACATAATGAATAGTTGAGTGACCATTTTATAACTTTTGATAATTGAGGGACTCAACAAAATAACACCCTATTGTCGGAGATCATTTTATAACTTTTAATTGTCAGAAGACTCAACAAAGTAATGTCTTATAGTCGAATGATCATTTGTGTACTTTACCCTTAGGGTGCGTTTGGTTCACGGAATGGAAGATTACCAGTGGGAATGTAAGATTACCAAGGAATATGATTACTGAGAATATTGTATTTTGTGTTTGGTTGGCTTAGCAGGAATGTAAGATTACCGTGTTTGGTTAAAAGAATAAAAGATTATTGGAATGCATATTTGATCAAATTGTCCTTATTATATATTTATTTTTTAACAAGTTGGAAAATATTTATATATTTTCTTTACAAAATTTAAATTCATAAAATTTATATAAATTTTTTACAAAATTGAAAATATAAAAAGGTTTAATGAAAGGGTAAATTTCTACTTTAACCCCTGAACTTCATATAAAATTTTAATTATAGACTTTTTTTTTGTAAATCTAAAATAGTTTAAGGATAAATTTGTAATTTAACCTTCGTAGAATTTTTATTATTCAATGACAGAAAAATGATATTTAAAAAACAATTAAGGGCATTTTAGTCCAAAACGCCGGGAATCCAACAATACCTAAGGAAAGGGAGGCAATGACATTCCCGGTAATATATCCCAAAAAATTCACTATTGGTAATCTTACATTACCGGGAATGAGATTCCCGGGCTAATCAAACGGGGAATGTAGATTCTATTCCCATAGAAATCTCACATTCACCTATCCAAACACCCCCTTAATATTAATTTAGAATTAAAATAAATTATAAATTGATACATGGTGAGTATCATTGTTTCTTCTGGCAGAAGGTAGCCACTTGAGCAATAGGAATGAAAGGTGAGGATTTCAAGGAGACTTCTCAATTGTATTAATATCCATATCCTTTGCATTTTGTATCTATTATGATGGTTCATGCACTTTTCTTATACCATAATTTAAAATATTTAAAAAAAAATTAACTCTTAAAATTTTAAAATTAATATTAAATTTAAATCTTATTATAAAATGAGTATTATGACGTTAGTTGTTTTAACATGATGACATGATATATTAAAATTAATAGATAATATTTCATTTCATCTTGCAACTATAATTAAAATTTTAATTTGATATTTTTATAATATTTATGAGAAATAATTAGTAACGAAGTGTTTGATTTAATAAAAATATTTTATTTTTCATTATTTCTCATAAATTGCCCGTCCAGCTTAGTTGGTAGAGCGTAAGGCTCTTAACCTTGTGGTCGTGGGATCGAGTCCCACAGTGGACAATTCATAATTCTGGAAGTTTCCAACGGAAGCTGTTCTCAACCTGGCGTTGGGGGCAGCCTACTATCCTACCTCCCCCTTACCCCATTACATATGGGAATAGGATCAACTAATTTTTTATTTATTTTATTTTCATTTTTAAATTATTATTTAAAAATATTAGAAAAGTATCAAAATAAAATGATAGTTACATTCGAAAGATAAATAAAATACCATTCATTAATTTTAGTGTGTCACGTCATCTCCTAACAACAACTAAAACAACGGTGTCAATTTTATAATAAAATTCAAAATTTAATGCTTACTTTATAAATTTTAAAAGTTTGGTGCCTAAAAAGATTATTTTGAGATAGTTTAATGGTTATTTTCTAACTTTACCCTTAAAATATAATATAACACACAAAATTATATATATGTTAAAATTTAGGATAAACTATGCGTTTAGTACCTAAATTTTCAGTTTTGATCCAATTTAGTATCTAAACTTTCATTTCTTTTAAAATTATACCTAACGTTTAGTTTTTATTTTATTTTAGTACCCGTTAAAAACTTTACAGACGGGCTGACGTGGCATAGCTTGGTGGATTGACGACCAATCTGAATAGTGGACCAATGAAAATGATGGGTTGACCAACATAGTTAGTTTCAGGCCCATCGAAAGATGGATCATGGAGATTGGAGGATGAAGAAATCTTAGTGTCCATCGTCAACTTTCATTTCTTTTAAAATTATACCTAACGTTTAGTTTTTATTTTATTTTAGTACCCGTTAAAAACTTTACAGACGGGCTGACGTGGCATAGCTTGGTGGATTGACGACCAATCTGAATAGTGGACCAATGAAAATGATGGGTTGACCAACATAGTTAGTTTCAGGCCCATCGAAAGATGGATCATGGAGATTGGAGGATGAAGAAATCTTAGTGTCCATCGTCAATTTCCAGACATTGAAGCATTTCCTAGTGAAATGAAGATCGAAATCACGTTTAGAGGGTCGAAAAAGTGGGGGTTGAAAAGTTTAGGCTTCATTGACCGATGGATGTGACTGTTGACGACTATAAACACAACGACCGGAGAACCCATCGGTTAAGTTTTTAACGGTGGGATACTAAAATGAAACAAAAACTAAATATTATGTATGATTTTGAAAAAATATGAAAGTTTAAGTACTAAAATAGACTAAAACTAATAGTTTAAGTACTAAAGTCAAAATTTACCCTATAATTTATTGAAAAAGAGAACCAAGGGATACATTCATTGGTGCTGCTGCTGTACTGGCCTTCCATGATCCATCCAGAGTGCTGATTTGTTTTTATTTTTTATTTTTAAAAATAGTAAAATATAATAAACAAAATTAATAGGTACAACATAGCTCATGACCTATGTTTCCACAAAGTTTTTAATTTTATAATAATTTACATTATAGTCACTTAATTATTAATAAGATTATTAAATTTTAATAAGTTACATATGAATTATTTAATTAATCAATTAGTATAAATAGATCAGGTTATTGTTATTATTCATCTGAATCTAAATTCACGTACATGTACAGATTTTACTGCTCGAGGTCGTTAGTTTTTAGTCATAACTAACGGACTTGATTGAAGAAATTGATAAATTAAGTTACCCGATTGTAACAAAAAAAGTAACTCCATTTCATTTTCAACTGTATAATGACATGTTTGTAACAATTCATCTTATTGATAATTTAATGACCTATAATGTAATTTATCCAAAATTTTATTATTCATACTTATCACTACAGGGATTTCCTCCCTCAAATTGCCGTCTAAATGCCCTGAACCACCACTTCGATTTCGCTTATCCTTGTGGTTTTCATTTCAATTTTTAATTTCCCATTTCTAAAAGTATTCGTATATGATATTTTATAATAATTTAAAAAATAAAAAATTCATCAATTTCGATTAACTCATAATCTATTTCAAATAGGACTCAAATTGATAAACCTGATCTAGTATTATTTGTTTTGAATAATATGAGGTGATTATAAGATTGTATTTGTTCAGAATTTTCTTAACCAATTGACAACGTATACACACTCTGCAGACGTAACTGCTCGAACTCATTTAAAAAAAAACATTCATTTTTATTACCGAGGCCACTTGATGGGTTCAAATGACAATAATATTTTAGTCTCGAAGAATTCATCTTTTGTATGCAGTTGTAAATCACGTAGAGAAA